AGAGAGAGAGAGAGAGAGAGAGAGAGAGAGAGAGAGAGAGAGAGAGAGAGAGAGCTGTGCCCCTGCGGCCGGGTCCTTAATGAATCCCTGCCGGCTTGGAATAACACCAAGGAGTCAATCCCTGCTCTGGCATGGGATGGGCCCGCCCCGGCCCCGTCGTCCTTCCAGCCCCGTCTCCAGCTCCAGGCGCTCTGCTGCTGGGCGCACCCACAATAATTACTCGGCATGTCCCCCTTAGCCTTAACATCGAAAACATTTAACGTTTGTTTTTATTTATTGTATTTATTTTTATTTTTCCCCTTATGTGCAGGTGGCCGCCGCCCGCTTCAAGCAGTCCGTGGTCCAGGAGGAGGATGCTGGCCTCACGCAGGATCTCCGCGGGTGATTATCGGCGCTGCACCTGGAGCTCGTTAGGCCCCGCGCACTCCAGAGCCCGCTCCAGCCCGCTCCAGAGCAGGGCGCAGCACAGCGACGTGGTGAGTGTCGTACTTCAGCAGGACGTTGTGTTGTGTGGGGTGAGCGCGCGGGCGCGCCCGCCCAGCGAGCTGCGACTCAAAGATGCGTCGTCGTTCGGTCACGTTTTCAAAGGCCGCAGCAGCAGCAGCGGGGGCGACAGGGCTTGGGCGCAGCTTGGGGTTCTGATGAGAGCTCTCATACAGGCCGTGCCCGTGCCACCGCCATGCCCTCGCCCCGGCCCCGGCCCCGCGCCCCCGGCACTCGACGCCCGGCATCCAGATGAGCAAAAGCGGCGTGAATGGATGTCATCACAAAGACGCTGCTCGCTCGGCGCTGATTTATCGCCCGGTTTATTGATCGACATCGTTACAGGGCACGTGACCGTGAGGGCAAGCCCGAGTGCAGGCGCCACTGCAAGCGCGCACAAACCGAGGTGAAAGACTTCGGGCGTTTTTGTTCCGCCTGCTGCGCCACCGCTCCGATAATCGCACTGGAAGGTTGTTCACTGTAAAAAAAAAAAAATCACAAAAAAACCCCTTTTAAAAACAGACAGCATAACGCCTGGTGGGTAGGCAACCCTGCCGTGGCCCGACGTATCGTTGGTGGCCTATCCTCCGCGAAACGGGCGCGCGGTGAAGCCAAGTATAGTAACATCTAAGTGTGATTAATCGTATGTTTTCCTTGCGCATTAGCTGCGCGATGCCGGTGCGGATGCACGTTTGTGTGTGTTGGTGTGTTCCTCGCCGTCCTGTGTCCCTGGTGTATCGGCAGGGGATGGGTCCAGCTTCCGGGAGAAACACACACACACATGCACTCTCACACCGTATTCAGGGTAAAATGCGTGCGTGTGTGGGAGAGAAAGGTGGAGGGATAAAGAGGACGACACACGGGGGGGGGGGGGGGCGGAACTGACCCGGAGCGAAATCGAACCGGAACCAGTAAGCCCCGGGCGAGGGACCGGAATGCCACACGGCCCAGGCGTGTAGAATCAGGAAGCCCGAGCCCCTGCTCCCTCCCCCTACCTCCTCCCGCGCCCCCCTTTCGCCTTGCGTCACCCGACTACTGCGGCCACTGGTACTCTGATCAAAAAGCGTGAATCGTGGACAGGAGCGGCCGGGCTGCGTTTAGTATAATAGGCGCCGTAGGAAAATACAGTTGCCTTTACTTTAATTTTTTTCACTGACAGCTCCTTAATTTGATTCAGGTCTCACCTGGCCCTGTCTCGTATAAACACACACAACCTCACACACGCACGCGCGCCTCCTCGCCGCACCGGAACGCCCCGCCACAATCTAATCCTTTCACTTATTTAACCCATTCTGCTCCCCTCTCTCTCTCGGCCCGCCACACGCCCGCGCCCCGCTCGACCGTTTCGGGTTTCAAAAGAGGCATAAAAAAAGGGGGAGAAGAGAGAGAGGGAGGGAGGAAAAGGGAGTGGGGGTGGTAGACACCCGACCGACTGGCCGACACGCGTCCTCACCGTTTGGCCCCGCAACAGGTTGTGGAGCGGCGTGGCGGGGCGTGGCGTGGCGGGCCGGGAGAGAGCGAGGCCGTACCAATTCCACGCGCACACACGCAATTTTTCAGCGGCATGTTCCCCGCCGCACCTCTTTATCTGTGGCCCGCCCCGCCCCGCCCCGCCACTGAGATAAGAACACGAGGGGCGGGGCGGCCACTGGAGACGGGGGGCGGGGCGCCGCTCTAGTGCACCACGGCGGCAAGCGAAGCGCCCTTTCATCTCGGCCGGAATGAAAAACGTGACATTTTTACCACATTCACTTACCGTCTTTTTGTTGATGCGCGCCGCGGCGCCGGCTGTGCGCCGGCCTCCTCCTCCACCGCCCCGGCCGCGCCCCTCACCCTCTGGGCCGCCCAGGGGCGACGTGTCGCAGATGGGGCACTCGTATTTTCATTGGCGATAACCAGGGGGCAGTCGGGCGGAGGGGTCAGGTCGGTGGGGTAGGGCGGCGAGAACGCGGGCGAGGAAGACGAGTACGTGGTGGAGGACGAGTACGTGGTGGAGGACGAGGACGTGGTGGAGGACGAGGACGTGGTGGAGGACGGGGACGTGGTGGAGGAAAGTACGTGGTGGAGGACGAGGGCGTGGTGGAGGACGAGAACGTGGTGGAGGACGAGGACGTGGTGTAGGACGAGGACGTGGTGGGGAGGACGAGGGCAGGGTTGGGGACGAGGGCAGGGTTGGGGACGAGGGCGTGGTTGAGGACGTCGTCCTCAGGACGTGTGAGTGGTTGATGATAAGGACGAGGACGTAGTTGAGGATGAGGGTGGGATTGAGGACTTGGATATGCTGGGGACGAGGTCGAGGAGGTGAGGAGGACAAAGACGTGGTTGAGAAAGAGGACGTGGTTGAGCACCAGGGCGTGGCCAGGGAAGTGAGTGTAGGGCAATAGGCCGTCGGTGAGGACGCTGGCGAGGATGGCGAGGGCCAGGGCGCGCGGACGGAGGCGCGGCAGGACGAGGCAGGACAATGGGGCACGTAAGACGCGGGGCGACAGGGGAGGGCGAGGCGAGCAGGCGGAGCGGGGCTGTCGCAAGAAAGAGGTACTCCCTGGGCACGGCTGCGCCCGGCTGGGGGTCGGCGGGCGTACAATCAGCATGTCGGCAAGGAGGGCGGCCGCCGTGCCTTAATGGACTAATAAATGGACACGCCGAGGGAGTGAGAGAGAGAGAGAGAGAGAGAGAGAGAAGGGGGTCGCAAAACAATGGTCTCGACCCGAGGGCCCGACGGGCCGTGCTGCCAAGGGCCTGGCAAGGAGAGAGCCTGCCCGCCCCGCCCTCGTCACCGATTGATAAGGGCTGGCGGGCAGGGCGGCGGCGGGCCGGCCGTCTTGGCTCGATGAGAGAATGACGTATCTCTGCAATTCCCCCTCGCCGCCCTGCCCGGCCCCGCCCGGCCCTGCCCGGCCCTGCCCGTGGGCGGTACAGCGGCTCGGCCCGGCCGTGCGAAGAGGAGAGCGCAGACACATGGTGGTGGTCTCGGCGCGCCCCGCCGCGCCACGCCCCACCGCGCCCTGGGGCGAGGTTCCACCTCTGTCTCGCTCTCTCTCTCTGTCCCTCCCTTTCTCTTACACGCCCAATCCCTCCTCCTCTCTCTCTCTCGCACCCTCTCGCCCCCGTGTGGGGGCTACCCTGGCCTCCCAGGACCGCGCGAATACTGCCCCTACTCCCTCCCCCTGCAGCCCCCACACCACCCGCCCGCGCGCTTGCTGTTACCAAAGTTTGGCAACAGCCCTTCAGCGTTCTAGCAAAACCCTTCTGTTTCGCCCTGAGCGAAATTCGAACTCCGCACTGCGACCAAACCAAGCAGCCAATGTGCCCTGCGGCTGCTCTGCCCCGCCCCGTCGGTGCGAGCGGCTCAAGCGCACCCCGTACCCCCTAGTTCCTAGTATGGCCCCTGCCTGAGTCGCCGGGGGGAAAAAAACTCGAAGAGAGGGGGGTGACGGTACGTCTGAAAGCACCCGTCTCACCCTACACTGCGTCCACTCCGAGGTCGGAACACCTCACCGCAGCACAGCACCCGCCCCACCCCGCCCGGTACGCCCCGCCCCGGTGGTCAGTGTGCATTGCGGGTGGTCCTCCGGGGCTCCCGGGCTGACCGCCGCGGAATGCCCGCTATGAATGCCGACGCAAAGGGAAGGGCCTCGCGGGCCCTCAAAGACAACCCCAAGACCGACGGGCGTGCCGGGCGGGCCAGCGGGGCCAGCGGGGCCAGCGGCAGTCGCAGGCTGCCTGGAATGAAAAGTCGGAAAGAAGAGCGCGCGGCTGCTCACTCTGAGGCGGGGCTGGCGGGGCTCGCGGGCCGCTGCTCACAGGGGCGACGTACTGCAATACGCTGGGGACGACTTGGGCGGCAGCGAGGAGGCAGGCCGCGCCGCCGTGCCGCCCGCAAAGAATACCACTAATTTTCGACAAGTCAACAGAAATTGAAAAATGGATCACGTTGGCAAACTGAAGGGGAAGGTGGAAAAGGGGGGGGGGCATCAGAAATTGCATTTCGAAAGGAGAGGAGCCGGGGACAGGAAGGGAAACCGGGGGTGAGAGGGGGGGAGGGAGAGGAGAGAGACAGAAAGAGCGCGAGAGTTGGGGGAAAGTTTGCGAGAATGGGAAGGGAATTCGGGGAGAAGAGGGGGTAAGAGGAATAGGGGGAGGGGGGTGGCTGCAGAGAGAATGGCCGCGAGAGGGGCTGGGCTGGAATGGGCGGCCGTACCCCCAAACATAGCGCCCCCTTTCCTTTAGGCGCGGCCTGCACCCCCCGCCCCCACCTCCAACTTCTCTATGCGCGCTTCAAACACTCGCGTGGTCCGGCCGCTTAATTTTCCTTTCGTCTCCCAGTTGTGCCGACTACTTGACTCCTCGCCGAGGTTTCCTCCTCCCGCATGACAGTTCCCTGCGGGCGGGCCGCCGCCGCCGCTGTAAAGCCGAACCATATTTCATGAATGAGCTTTTGCGGGGGACACGCGCGGTCCTTTTGAGCTTTAAAGTGAAGCGGCCTGGGGTGGCTGCTTCTGCTGCTGCTGCCTGGCGCTGCCGCGGAGGGGAGGGGCGCATTCGCTGCAGAAGTTCCTTTCAATATTTCAAGACATGTCAAATGCTCCTCGTCTTCGAAATCAATCATAACGGAACCGCGCCCCACCGCGGCCCCTCCGCGACCGCGCCCCGGGTGTGTTCCCTCTTATTTGCGGAAGTCCTATTTCAGCCGCTGTTTTGACCATCCGATCGCTTATATATTTTCTTTTACTGCAAATATATTTTAAACCCCTAGTCGCTAAAAATCAGTTTGAAGCTCTTAACTTCAAGAGTTCTTTTTTTTCTTCATTTAGTTGCATCCTCACGTTGACCTAATGTACACTCTAAATGGTTGAAAACATCTATCAGTCAGAAACATTCATTGTTTTATGCAAATTCGTACGTGCAGATAATTTCATTCACGTCGGTACATTATTCTTCACAACTTAATACATACAATTCTGCATACGTCGATCTGTCCAAAATTATTCAC